GTACAGTACGGTTCGGTACAGTACAGTACGGTTCGGTACAGTACGGTTCGGTACAGTACGGTTCGGTACAGTACAGTTCGGTACAGTACGGTTCGGTACAGTACGGTTCGGTACAGTACGGTTCGGTACAGTACAGTACGGTTCGGTACAGTACGGTTCGGTACAATACAGTACGGTACAGTACGGTTCGGTACAGTACGGTTCGGTACAGTACAGTTCGGTACAGTACAGTTCGGTACAGTACGGTTCGGTACAGTACAGTACGGTACAGTACAGTACGGTACAGTACGGTTCGGTACAGTACGGTTCGGTACAGTACGGTTCGGTACAGTACAGTACGGTACAGTACAGTACGGTACAGTACGGTTCGGTACGGTTCCAAGCCATTTCCATTAGGCCAGATCCATGGAACCAGCCCTTTTTTTAGTACCTACTTGGTTGTGGTTCCAACTGGCCCCAGCTGACACCAAAATGTGACATCAGAACACTGTTCATCACTGATTGGTTAGGGGTGGAGTCAGTGGTTGGTCAGGGGGTGGAGTCAGTGGTTGGTCGGGGGTGGAGTCAGTGGTTGGTCAGGGGGTTGAGTCACTGGTTGGTCAGGGGGTGGAGTCACTGGTTGGTCAGGGGGTGGAGTCACTGGTTGGTCAGGGGGTGGAGTCACTGATTGGTTAGGGGTGGAGTCACTGGTTTGTCAGGGGGTGGAGTCACTGGTTGGTCAGGGGGTGGAGTCACTGGTTGGGTCTAACTGCCTTTAGAACAACTCAAGGAGCCATTTTTTCACTTGTAGCAGTGACATTAGTCGTGATTCCGTCCGGTTTTAATTAAATTTTTTTACAAATGTTTAAAATTTCAAAAGTTATTCATCAAATGTGTTTCCATCTCTCATTTTACACATTAACTTTATTTCAAAAAACCTAAAAACCACCTCCACCAACCGCTCAAAACACACCCACTGGAACCGGACTGGAACATCAGTGGAAAACCAACTGGTCCGACCCGTTCCGACCCGTATTCACACCGACCGTTCCGACACTACACCATGGAAAAGGGGCTACACAGGACCCTCTGTAAAAATGTTACCCCCCATAGGTCAGCTCTGTACCACAACCTTCAGTTGTTATAAAAAACTGGAGAAATTAAAAATCAAAGGGACATTCCATCATCGTCTATCTAAACACATTGAAATTGTCCTCTGCCTCTTTAAGAACCTCCTACTATTTCTGACACTCCCACTTCCGCACATCTTCACAACAATGCTTCAGAGGAGGGAGCTCTGAGGGCTGCAGACTGAGCTCCAGGGAGGAGCTTTGTGTAAATAGGCGGAGCTTTGTAGCAGCATGTGAGTGGTCAGCTCCACATGACCACAGGAGATTCATCTCAAACATGAATGAGTGAAAACAACTCTGTTCATGCATCACTGTCTCCTCCAGCAGGTCCGAACAGAACCAGAACATGTGAAGTCCCGCAGGCCTCACCTGGATCAGTTATAGGTCAACAAGAACAAACATGGTGTCCAGGAGGTCAACACTACTGCTGACAAATCAACACAAACATTTCCATTTGACACATATTGTGTTTCTGTTGGACAGTGTTTTACTCAGATTATCTCTGTGTGATAATAACGTCTGCTGATCTGAAGTGTAGAAACAGAAGAAGTCATTTCTTCACAGCAGTGTTTCAGCTGGACTGACCTTTGACCCGGGCTGTGCTGCACGAGGGACAAGTGTGCAGTCAGGGTTGTGAAATGTGTCTGATCTTTGTCACACAGGGACGTGTGTCCTGGACGCTGAGTTAGAGCGACGTCATCAGATGATGCACGTTTAGCAGAAAAACATTTGGTCCAGTTGGGTTTGAGTCGGTCAGTCAGTGGTCAGTCAGTGGTCAGTCAGTGGTCAGTCAGTGGTCAGTCTGTGGTCAGTCAGTGGTCAGTCTGTGGTCAGTCAGTGGTCAGTCTGTGGTCAGTCTGTGGTCAGTCTGTGGTCAGTCAGTGGTCAGTCTGTGGTCAGTCTGTGGTCAGTCAGTGGTCAGTCAGTGGTCAGAGACTCACACTCAGCTGCACTGTGTGTTTTCAGGTGGCAGCAGTAACACATCTGTACAACATTTCATCTAAACAAGGAAAGAAAAGCTCATTCTCTGGTCAAAGTTGTTTTATTGATTGAAAATGTCAACAAGCAGAAAAGAACATAAAAACCTTTTGAACAGATTAGAAGATAGAAAAACATTTAAGTGTGTGTTTGAAGCACGAGGCTCTGACACACAACAAGCACAACATTCAGGCCTGGCCTCCTTTCAGGTGACCTCTCTGACCTGATGTCAGTATAACTGTCAGCCACTACCACCTGAGCTCAGAGTCTGAGGTATAACCTCTGCTGTGTTGGCTGATCTCCAGTCAGACCACCTCCAAACTGTCACAGGTGAACATCCTGACCACCGAGGAACACTTGAAGACTCTCAGCTACTTCTGCAACAAACAGAACAAAACCTGTCTGAACCACTGATGTGTTCCAGGATCAGTGACCACCACCACAAAACATCATCAGTTCTGAAGTCTGTTCAGTGTTTGTGCCCTGAAGGTGGTTCCTGTAGACACATTTATTCCTGGGCTGACGCCTTATGGTGGACAGGTTTGAGTCCCAATGATCCTAGGAGCTCTGAGGGGCTTCATGCCCCCTGTAGGGTCACCCAAGGCCAACAGGTCCTAGGTGAGGGATCAGACAAAGTGCAGCCCAAAGCCCCCTACGATGAGCACCATAAATGGAGTCAGTGTTCCCTCACCCGGACCTGGGTCACCGGGACCCCCCTCTGGAGCCAGGCCTGGAGGTGGGGCATGTTGGTGAGCACCTGGTGGGTGGTCTTTCACCCATGGAGCCTGGTCAGGTTAGTTAGGCCTGAGCTGTGCTCTCAGCAGCCTGCTGATGGATGTAGAAACATCTTGGTTCATTTCTGTGATGAAATCCAGGCTGTGGAAACATGAGGCTCCTCTGTGGCCTTCAAGTCACTCCGGCTCCTGGGCGTCGAAGCTGGCTGCTGCTGGGAGGAGCTTCAGACACCTTTCACCCACATTTCTGTCTCTGAATGGACGGCCTGCCTCTGAGCTGGAGTTCATTAAGTCTGTCCTTCAGTGGGGGGTGGGGGGGGGGTCTGTGTTTGATCAGTAGTCGAACACAGACCCACTGATCCTTCAACACAGAGCATCTTCAGAAGACAAGTTGATGAAATAAATTTAATAATCTGTATTGTTCCATACATGTGTGTGTTGAACCTAAAGTACTGTTTGGTATGGGTACACGTGTTGTTGCAGCCTTATTTCCCACCACATCAAATCTTATCTTTAAATCAGTCCAATGATCTGAGGAACTGCTGGAGCTCATCTGCAGACACATCTGAACCTGAATTAGCCCCAAAGCTTCAGCAGCTCTACATGAACAGTCAATGACTGATTTATGAGTTTAATTAAATCCATTCAGTGGTTTATGATAAACTTTCAGAATAAAAGACAAACAGGCAGCTACATGGTGTCCATCTTTCTTTCCTGATCAGGATTTATCAGCTTTAGATTCTGACCTTTCAGCTGGTTCAGAGTAATGACTACCTGCTCTCTAAATACTCTCTGCTGGTAATCCTGAGTGGACCGGATGACAGGATTACCTAATCTGATGAAGTGCAGCCCACTAACCAGCTTGGTGATTAGCTTCATTCAGGACAGAGTCAGGTCAGAGGAAAACAAGCGAGTCATAAAACAAAGAAGTAAAACCTTTGATGAACATCATGGTTCCTGTGTGACCACAGTCTGCAGCTCTGTGTTCAGTCTGACTTTAACTTAAAAACATAAAAACACCTCATTATCATCATCCTAATTAAAGAAATCAAACAGCAGTGGCTCAAATATTAAAGTTATTAAGAATAAACGTTTATTATATTAATGATGGCTTTATTAATGAGAACAAAGTAGATAAAACAAGTGGATGAGTTCAGATGCAAACACTGTAAGTCCTCCATCACTCCAGGTTAGAACAGAGGGGCGTGGCTTAATGAAGGATGGTACCAGAGAAGAAGAACTGAAGGAGGGGCCTAAACTAAACAAACATCATTTACATCAGAGGAGCCCAAAGTGGGGCCCGCAGGCCAAATTTGGCCCGCCAAGCCATTGATTTGTCCCACCAACAGTTGCCAAAGTTACAAGGTTGTAAACTGTTATCCTATAGGTAGAAACACAGTGTTTCCATTGGTCAAATGATTATATAAAAGGGCTGTTAGTGAAGGTAGTTTTCAGTCATGGTGCTGACTTTATCTTTGATTTATTAGGATTAAACATGAAACAAGAAATAACAACAAGACATATTTAGATCAGATCTAACCCCACATGTAGATTTGCACACTTTATAAGGCCACAAAACCTCATATTTTATCAATTTATGATATATCCCATGAGCCTTTGCTACTTGAGCGTACGGCAGACTTTCTCCAAGTGCACAGACTAAAACTAAAGAGGGCCATAGCACAGCTTAATGGTTAAAAATAAAGGACTTTACTTAAAAAGTATTTGTATTTCATGTATTATATTACTGCATTTGGCCCGCAGCCATGGGTAGATTTTCTTTTTGGCCCCCTTGGGGAAAATGTTTGGGCACAATGATCTACATTGACTGTGACTAGAGACAGGACCAGAACCTGGAAGTTGAAGAACAAAAGCCTATCAACAGTTTTTAAGCCCCGCCTCCTCATAAACAAATGAGACATTTTCCTGACTAGAAAAAGTAAAAAGAAACTTCAAATATTATTTTCATCAGTTTTTTGTGGATTCATGTACCTCCTGAACGCTGAGTCATCAATTAAACATGTTTGAAATATGGTAACATGTCAACAAAAGTGCCATGTTGCAGTGATTGACAGGTCACAGCTAATTAATGAGCGGGGGGGGGGGGGTGCAGGCGGGACTTATGAAATACAAAATTTCAGCTCACAAAAAAAACTGACATTTTGGCTTCAATTAGGAACCAAAGAGAGAAAAGAGACACTTTGTCCATCTTTCTTACTGATGACAGGGCCGGTCTGAGGGGTGCCGTTCATCTACAGGGTGCCACACATGTGGATAAAAACAATTATTTTATAACTTTTTATCGGAGTCCAGTTGATTTAGTCTGCAAAATAATCTCTGATTTCTCAATTCAATTCAATTCAGTTTATTTCTACAGCTCCAAGTCCCAACATCCGTTGTCTCAGGACACTGTAGATAAAAAGAACAATGTAAAGAAGAAAGCAGCAGATTGTGTTGAATCACTTCATCACAGTCTCCATCCTGAGCAAACGGTGGAGAGGAAAAACTCCCTGCTAATCAGGAAGAAACCTCCAGCAGAACCAGGCTCAGGACAGGAGACCATCTGCCTCGACCGGCTGCTTGGAGGACAGGAAAGAGACACAGACAAACACTGAAGAACTGGTCCAGGACTGGTCCAGGACTGGTCCAGGACTGGAGACCATCTGTTTGGTTTCTCAGATTTATAAACTTGTTCTGAGGGTTTCTCAGCTGCTTCGTTCCTACATGAGGTGTACTGTAGATGTTTGACTAAATCTCAGGGGCAGCACACCCCTGATTGATGATAAATATAATTGTGTTTTTTCTTAGGCAGCTGTGGGAGTAATTTAATGTGGAAGCTATTTTTGTGTAACTGCACCAGGATTTAAGCATTAACAGTGTCAGAAATATTAACTTGTTTAGTTTGTGTCAGGATACTAAAACAATCAGCCTGAATAGTAAAACATTTATAACAGCAAGAAAAACAACAATAATTCAGAACTTGATGTCTGTCCTTGATGGAACTCCTAATTAAATATTTTAGCTACAATTTCAGAAAACTTTCTATAATCAGATTTAATAAAAGTACAAAAGTTTCATGAGTTGGACAATAAATGATTTTAGTAGCGATGCATTTATTTTTTACAAAATAAGGCCCCAGAAGAAAACTTTAATAGATGAATATTTATTGTTTTGGAGTAATGACAGAAACAAGCAGCACAGAAAATCAAAGTACTGTACACATAAATATACTTACAGTACGAAGAAAACATTCCTTCAAACAACAATCAGTATTTGACTCTGATGTATCAGAACCACACGTTGGCATTTACACAGCATTTACACTCAAAGTGACAAGAAACAAGCAAATAAAGAGAAATAAGCAGAATAAAGCAGATCAGTGTGGCTTATTAGAAGCACTAAACATTTTATAAACGCAGCTTGGCTTTATATGAATTATATACAAGAGACGGTATGAGTCCCACCACCACCATCATGTTGGAGATGAAAACATCTGAAGGTTCAGGAGGTGTGCTCGCTTGTTACGAAGCTTCATTGGCACTCTCTGAAATAAAGACCCGCAGACTGCAACGTGTGGAGACCACCAGGGTCCACCGAGGGTCCAACACCTCAGACCCTGAGCCCAGAGGAGCTGCTGACACCAAACAGCTTCAGGCTGAGTGAAAGCAGCTGAACGGACCTGCAGGAGGCAGAAACACACGCAGGGTTAGAAACACAAAGCTGCTGAACCCGAGTCAACTCAGAACTGCAGCTAATGCGACAAATACTCTGTTAAACTCAACAGAAACTGTGTACTTAGGACAGTTGTGTACTTAGGACAGTTTTAAAAATCAGTGGTGGACGCAGTTCTGCTAGTAAGACTAGCTTCTTATTTAGTGGATTAACATTTCTCCTAACTACAGAAATAGTTAGCGGACTGATTAACTTCCACTAAATTAAGCTCTGCTAAATTTAAGTTTGCTTAAGTTTTCACAAGCGTTAAAGTTTGATTTTTATACAGTTTATCTTGAGTTAAATAAAAACTATCCGCTCTTAAAAGCAGTGCTGGATGTGCCAGGCACCATGTATGTAGCATGTAGCATCTTTAGCAGCTAAACTTCAAACTAAGAGCATCAAAATTAAATTAAATAACATTTAGCAATATTTAAATAACAAATACAAAAACTGACTGTATAAAATATAGTAGAGAAAGTACTTCATATTTGCTGTTTGATTAACTTCAGCACTCGCTTCGGATGTTATCATCCATTAAATGGACGTTATTAGCTGTTATCAGTCCCATAGAATGGCTTCAGACTGTCGGCTGGTTAGTATGAGGCATAAAACCACTGAGGTTAATTTTTAAGAAAATGACATGGGCTATGATAAAGTAGACCGGACTCGGTTGGTAGCAGATTGTTGCATTCCAGTGTATATGGCACTGGTAAGCCACTGGGGGCACTGTCAGGACAGTCTGAAGCCATTCTATGGGACTGATAACTGCTAATAACGTCCATTTAATGGACTGATAACATCTGAACCGGCTGACTTCAAACAGTATTTATAAAAAATACAGTATAAACTCCATCAAAGTACTGGTTTGATTCTGAAATAGTTAAACTGGAATTTTTATACTGGAACAAGTTTGGATTGGTCGATTTGCCACACATGATCCCGCCCACCTTCAATTGGAACCAATAGAAAACTAACAATAGGTTTTAGTCCCACCAGTCTTTAACTGGACTGAGGTTCTGTCACAACACCCACACTCACCCTCGTTCCCTTGTGCACTTCCATTGTATGTTCATGTTGAAGGGTTTGAGTGCGTAGTGTGTCCCACATTCTACACATCCACCCTTAGCCCCGCCCATTTTGAGTACTATTTTCACCCTTACGAGAAGTCCGCATTTTTATGAACTTCGGTGAAGTGTTTTACCCACAATTCATCCCTGTGTGACGGTTTGAATTAAAAGGCAGAAATCTGGCACTGTCCACTGAGCAGCTTCAGTTTAGTGGTGGCAGTAATGCACCTAAATGAGTCTGCCTACCACCAATAAAACCAAAGAAGAAGAACTTATAGAAGTTAGTTCTCAGACTCTGATGTATCAGCCTACTTCGCTTCATGTGCTTTCTTCTCCTAAAAACCATTGCTTCTTGTAGTTGTACATTTTTAACATTACAAATGCCAAAACAGTGACTGGTCCCTCCATGTTGGATGTTGCAGTTACGACACAGAGAAGATGATGTAATCTGTACTGTCCCAATTCTCAATTGTTTTGCACACTTGTAACCTGTGCACTCCAACACTTCTGTGCACTTCAACTGAATCCACACTTCACAGAGGGGTGTAGGGTGTAGGGTATAGGGTGTAGGGTATAGGGTGTAGGGTGTAGGGTATAGGGTGTAGGGTATAGGGTGTAGGGTGTAGGGCATAGGGTGTTGGGCGTAGGGCCTAGGGCGTAGGGTGTAGGACATAGGGTGTAGGGCATTGGGTGTAGGGCGTAGGGCTTAGGGCGTAGAGTGTAGGGCATAGGGTGTAGGGTGTAGGACAAAGGTTGTAGGGTGTAGGGTGTAGGGCATAGGGTGTAGGGCGTAGGGTGTAGGGCATAGGGTGTAGGGCGTAGGGTGTAGGGTGTAGGG